AAAAAAAAAAAAGATATCCTTCTAAATCAGTGGTTTTCAACCTTCCTAATGCCGCAACCCTTTAATATAGTTCCTGTGAGTCGCAACACACAGGTTGAGAACCGCTGTAACTAAATGCTGTGTTTTAGAGTCCGTGTTTGCCTGGGTTCAGGGGCCCAAACTGAGAGTGACATGTTATTTACACTTGAAGGCGTTAGCTAATTTAATTTCCTCCTCCAGCTTCATAAAGGTATAGCTGCCAAATAAAAATCACATGTACTTATGGCATACAATGTGATATTTTGATATATGTATCCTTTGCAAAATGATTAAATCAAGCTAATTGACATATCCATCACTTCATATACTTAACATTTTTTTGTAATGAAACCAGTTAAGATCTAATCTCTGAGCAATTTTCAAGTATACAATACATTATTATTAACTGGAGTCACCATGCTGTACAATAGATCTTCAGAATTTACTCATTCTAACTGGAACTTTATATCCTTTAACCAACATCTCCTCACCCAACACCCAGCCCCACCCTCACCCCCTGGGAGCCGCCATTCTACCCTCTGCTCCCCTATCTGATTCAATCTTAACGGAAGATCCCAACCAAGGCCAAACCTGGGGATGGAATTAATTATCCAGTCACTCACAGGTGGGTCTTACAGAACAAGGTTAATACTGTGGACAAAGAAGCTGACAGGGCACAAATTGTGCCTGTTCTGTGAGTAAACAAAGAGTTCATGTTCTGCCAGTCTGGTCTTTTCAGGCAGCTGAACATAGTCTACTCACATGCTTGGGAAATGCAATATTTAAGCAGTGGGGTATAAAATAAACATCATTATGCAGTACAAGAAAACACACACATATGAAATACGGTTCAATAATAGAGATTGTCAGAAGCAAAATAAAAACATACCACATTTTAGAGCTCCATGTTTCTTTGCTATTTCTGTTTTGGGCAAGTGTGTGTGTGTGTATGTGTGTGTGTGTGTGTGTGCACGTGTGCCCCTTGGTATCTGGGACTGAATGCAGAGATGTGGGATGGGAAGTAGCAGGTTGAAGCCGACTCCAGAAGCTGTGTGGCCATGGCCAAGTCCACAGACCTCAGAACTCCTCTCTCTCATCGGGCTGCTTTATGCTTTCTGAATATAAAGACTGCCTTTAAGGTTTTAAACATTATTATCTGAAGCTGGTTAACAATTTTTTTTTGTCTTTTGGCCATTAAAACCATTCATAAAAAAAGAAGCAAACTCATATTTTGCTTAAGCAAAAGTTTGCTAAAATGAGAGTGAATTTCAATTCTGAGAAATGTAGGCTATTTCTTTTAACTCTCATAATAGCAATAATTAAAAGGTATCTGCGATTAGACTTATGAGAAGGGACCCTTATTTTCAGCCATTAGTGTTATTGCTATGTGTACAGGTGTACGTATGTACACACACATACACAAAATTAACAGGGCAAACAGCTTTGTTCCTGATATATTACTGAATATATCTTCATTCTGAAGGCAAAGAAGAAGCAATGATGGATAGACGATACATTCTCAGAGAACATTTCCAGCAATGATGTTGGCACTTAAGCATCTATCAAAATCATGACAGAGGTGGCCCATCACCTATAGACAGTTACGCACAGCAGAGAAAACACTTTAACAATAAGAGTGGCCTTGCCTTCGTTCAGATAAACAAACTCTCTTATTGAGAGAGAGTGCCCCACATTGTGCTCCTTTTGGCGGGGTCCATTAGTTATAATCTGTAGTAAAATCATACATAAAGCAAACATTACCATACTTCCTCTGTTATCTGCAGCCATCTACATAATGTGTGCCTGGTAAACTGGGACGCATACTCATCTGGGAGAATTAGGATGCAAATTCAAGTCAAGACTCATCACTTATTAATTCTAAGATTTGGGGGCATATGTTTTATCTCTCTGTGGGTCAACTGCAGAATCACAACATGTCACAAAATGGCTGTGGGGATTTAAAGAGAAAATGGATG